TGTAGTCTTTTAAGAGTAATGCACTGAGATTTAGATTGTCCAAGCTGAAGCGTGCTGCTGGCAGTGAAATAAGAACCTGATGCAGGAACAGCTGCCTCATTGGTTTTCCTCAAAATCAGCCGGTTCCTCGCCTCTGGCTCTTTGTGTACACACTTCCGCGCGGTGGTCACTCAAGGTCCGTCTGTCTCTGCAGGTTGCTCGCTGCAAACAGCTCATCTGCGACCCCAGCTACGTCTCGGACCGCGTAACGAAGGTTGGCCAAGTGATTCGGGTAATCTGCATCTTGAGCCACCCGATCAAGAATACAAATGATGCCAACTCGTGCCAGATCATTATTCCACAGAATCAGGTCAACCGAAAAGCAGGTGCGTAGAGAGCGGGGACTGCCGGGGCGTGCACAGGTCTCGTCGCACTTGGGTTGAGGCAGAGCGGTCATTAAACGGCCTCGCACCAAACGCGCTCTGATGGTCTGGTGAGATGTGAATCAAACAGGAAAATGCGCTTACTGCTGCTCCTGTGGCAGACTTCATGTCCTTGTCCAGAAATCCTTTAGGCCCCCGCGAGGCTGTGCTTTAGTTTAGAGCCGCGGTGGGAGAAGCCGGGGTGCCTGTGGTCAGAAAGCCGTGTGAGGAACCCGCTGAAGGAAGTGGCCCAACCTACGAGAAGTGGGCGAGGAGCACGGGGGTGCTCTGGGAGGGAGGCGAGGGCTGAGCACAGGAGGGGAAATGCTTCCTCGCCCTTGAACAGAGGGGTGGGCTGGCTGCTGGGGACCCCACTGGCTTTCAGGAGCCGTCATAGCCACAGGAAACTGAATTTTGGAGATCTCGCAGGGCTGCCCAGGCCCCTCAGCCAAGAGACTGAGAGCACGTAGGACTGCAGGGCAAGGACGGAACTCATTCAAGCGTGGTCTTAAACAAGACAAGGAGTTACGAAGTGTCAGGGGAGCAGGAAGAGGCGCACGAGCGTGCAAGTTAGAGGAGGCTTTTGGGATGAGGCAGGCCTGACCCGGGCTGTTGGCTTGCCTGGCACATACTGACCTGCCGCTGTGATGTGCTTCCCCAGATATCTACGTCTGCATGATCTCCTCTGCACACAACGTGGCAGCGCAGGGGAAGTACATCGCCATTGCCAGCACTACTGTGGAAACCGCGGACCCAGAGAAGGAAATCAAGCCGGCCTTGGACCTCTTGGAGCCCATTGAGCAGAAGTAAGCCCTCGACGAGCCCCCTCTCCCCCTTCTCACCTCGCTGCTCTCTGCTGCGAGCGCTCAGACCTGAGGCGTGAAGGCAGAGGAGACCTGAAGGCCATTTGGCTGTAAAGAGGTGTTGAAACTCTGAATTTGCACCTTGACTGCTTACACGCTGGGCAGAGCAAATGCCCTTTAATTCAGCCATTCTTCAGCCGTTCTTGCACCCGTACTGATGCTCAGCGATGCTTTAAAACCATTCTGAAGCTCTTTTTCTCTTCCTTCCAGGTTCGTTAGCATCAGTGACCTGTTCGCACCGACCGACTTGGGAACCGAAAGCCAGGTTAGTAAGCGCCAAGCTCGTGTTTGAGGGGATGAGGAGAGGCTCGATGCTAAACTGCTGCTTCTCTTTCCAGATCTTCATTTCTCGCACCTATGACGCCACCACTCACTTTGAGACGACGTGCGATGACATCAAAGATATTTATAAGAGGATGATGGGATCAGAGTTTGACTTCGAAGAGATGAAACGCAAGAAAAATGATATCTATGGGGAGGAGGAGCAGCAGTAATGAGAATCTCTAATTAGGAGAAATTTAAATCGGCTAATATGAATATATAAGGAACTTAATGAACACTGTATGAAATTCAATATTGTAAGGCCTGCTTTTGTAATCCCATCTCTGAGAGATTGAAGAGTACTGCACTGGTAATGTTCCCCTTTTGGATATCATGTGTTAATTATTTCATTCTAGTAGGGCTGCTGTCCAGAATCTGGCAAATTACTGACTGATTTAATGACTAACCTCGTAAGCGAAAGGCAGACTGAACTTTTTTTTTTTTTGCAGACGTAGTCGTTGGTGCAGATTTGAAATAACTCATTGACAGCTGTGTCTTACCTTGTATTTTTAATCATTTGTAAACATCCTTCACAATTATGTGCTTCTGGTGAGCTAGTAGATGTGACGGTTGTCACTCAAACCTGATATCAAGGAAAATAGAAACTGAGCACTCCATTATTGTGGACAGCATCCCTAGAGTCTCTTCCCATCAATCTAACTCTGTGGCAAGTTGTATTATGGACAAAGCCCACATCTATTGTAGCAGCAAATGTTGGCTTAGTTCTGGGCACAGAACTTAACCTCCACTTAAGCTTCTAAAACTGTTTACATCGGTTGGGACACAGCTGTGCCTAAGGCTCCTTTGTGTTTTAATCTTAATAAAATTGAGAGAACAAATTACAGAGCAGGCAAGATGTGGAAGTATTTTCTGTACCCTGGTGGCTTCTCGGATGGACCAAACGGCACTGCGGTATCGATATGACAGAGCCTGTGCTTCTCGTGTCTCCTGAAGGCTCCAAATGATTTCTGTACTGCGAAGTAAAGCCAAATTCTGGAAACCAGTCCTGTGCTCTGGTCTGATTCACTTCAGTTGTACGAGCAGCATCTCCTTTCCGAGATCCCTTGGATCTCTGCCCGCCAGGGTTGAAGCGTGAGTGGCGCAGCGCATTTCCTACTGTAAAACAGGCTCAGACTTCCTTGGTTGGCCTTCCCAGCCCCTGCTGCTCCAGCTGCTCTCGGGCCTGCTTTTGGCAGGGGAGAAGATGCCGCAGCACAAGGCCTGTTGCTGTGTCTAAAGCTGTGGGTAGGCGCAAGCCTGCTCCCTCCCTGCAGCCACCCCCTGGTGCCTACATCCAGAAATAGCACTTGCTTGAAGCAGTAGTAAATAATTCTTGCTGTTGTGGCTCCTCTACAGGGCATTGATCTCTCTGAATAAGAGATGCTCCTCTTCGGAGTGAATCTTAACGATCCCCTGGCTTGGATCTTGCAGCCTGAAGCAATCCCGCTGTTGGGTGGCAGGTGTACGGCGAGGAGCGGGGCTCGTGTTTATACGCAGCGATGCCAAGTACTAGGAAAAATGAGAAAATGCCTTGGAACAGCTTTCTCCTGTTCTCGGCTGCCGTGCCTGCCCAGGTAGTGTCGCTGGTAAAGGGTTCATCCTTCCCCTCAGCCGTAGCTGTGCCTCATGCTGCTGCTGAAGAGGAACTGGGTCTTTGACCACATCTCGTTCGCAAAGCGATGCTGCGCTAAACCCGGCTGCAGCTGCCCCTTTCCCTCCTCCCTCCCTGGGCTTAGGGGCTTTTGGCACTTCCCCTCCCTGGGCGCTGGTTCCGGGAACCACCTTTCCATTTTAAGCTGCTGGGAGCCTGGTGCCCGTGGTGCCAGAGCGTAGTGATGGCTGGGGATGTTCTTCCTCACCTTGTGCTTCCTCTCTTCAGCTGCTTCAGTGCTCAACATCACCAAGCTGAGCCTTTTCAAAGGTAAGACAGACCCAATGCGTGTGGAAAATGAGCGCCTTCTTCCCCTAAATGCTTCTGTTACTCCTCTCTGCTGTAACCTGGCTATTCTTCTGCCTCTCGGTACGGCTGATCCTGCAGCCCTGAGTCTCTTTGAGCCCACCACTGCTAGAGCCAAGCAGTCTTGCTCGCTCTTTCCTTCCTGTGTGGGCTTCAAAGTTGGGGGTAATGCAGAACAAAGCTGATTTCTGATCTACGTGTGAGCTGGGAAAGCTGCTCTCTCCTGCCTCTGCTGATGGAGAGGCTGGGTGCTGAGTGGGAAACCCCTCGCCAGAGAGCAGTGGTGTGTGAAACTTAAGGTTTTAGGTTTTATTAATCAAACTCTATACAACATCATCCTGTACATAATGTCTGGCATCCTTTTATTAAAATAAAAAAAGAGGACAACCCTGTACTCCACATCCCGTAGGTAGGGTATCTTACAAAGATCTTTAATGTGGCATTTTCTTCCCCAGCGCGTGTTTGTCTGAGCTACCATAAATAAAAGCTTTTTGTTCCTGCATCCTGTTGTCTGGCTATTTACAAGACTTCCACGTGCTGGAATGCGCTCGAGTCCCAGCGGTGAAATGGTACTGAGGAAACACGGGCAACTTGCAACGTAGTGTAGAGCAGACTGCTGCAGGTTCACCGACACTCGGGCGATGGTCGCTAACACTCATTTAAAATGTGCACCCACCCCTGCGGCTAACACATGCGTCCTGTGTACAGTATGTACAGCAACAGCTGTGTGGAAAATGCATTTATTATTGTGGACTCGTACCGTTCCTAACCTTCAAGTAAACGACTTTTTTTAAAAATTTATTTTCCTATGTCTTCCAATGTCAGCTGCACTAATCACTTGAAAACACTCCAATAACTTAAAACTGTGTAATGTTAAAATAGCCTCTGTCCTATATGCAACTTGATGGCAGGGAGTAAATCCCTGGGAGGATTTGCATTAGCCATCTTTAAATAATTTCTATATACAGAACCAGAGCCAACCTTCCACCGCCACCTCTCCGCGCACTGCTCCTGTGGGCAGCACCCGAAACCCACTGGGATGTCGGGGCCATCCCGCAGAGGACCAGGATGCCCAAACCGGTGCCGCAGGGCCTGGGAAGGAGCCGTGCCGCGGACTCGCTTCGTCACCTGCAACACAGAGACGTGGCACAGGTTATTGCTCTGCTCCCCTCCTCGCTCCGAGCAGTGCCGACCTCTTCCAGAGCTTCCCCAAGGGAAGCGCTGCTGTGTTTCCCCGTTGCCGGCGGTGCCGAGCATGGCTCTGCCAAACATAGGCCCTCCCGGCTACGGCGTCAGCCGTTCAGCGTTGGCAGAGCCGCAGCAGATCCTGCAGCCAGCCCCTGGGAAAGGTCCCTGCTCGGCTGTGGGAGCAGCTGGACCCCAGCTCCCTGCCTGCCACCCCGCAGACAACCCGGGAGCCGCCCCCGGACTTTTGGGGGAGAAAGGGACAATCCCCCCTTACCAGTAGCTTCTTCTAAACGGGGCAGCCATTTTCTGCACCGTCCTGAGGAAGGTGTTGACGTCGGCCACGAGGATTCCTTTGCTTTCAAGGACCTCCCTGCTGATGCTGGGCTTTTCTGCAAAGGAAGGAGGGGCACCGTAATTCAAACAAGGAAATGAGGTTGTTCTGAAACCTACAGAAAATATCCCCCGATCCCACTGCAGTTATTCTGTTTTGCAAATGTGAGCAGATGAACAGCGCTGCTTTGCAAACAGCCTCAGCCCAGCAAGGCCAGAATTAGAGCGTGACGTAAAGCCATCCGCAGGCTCGAAAAATTGCCAGAATTTACCAGAGCTCCAAAAATCTGTTCATTTTTGCCTTTTACTGCACTGACTTGCAATGAATCAACTCACACCTTACCCGTGATTCTAACAGAAATGGGAGCAAATGGGGTGTTTCTTGCCTCTCCTCCACTGCCTCCCAGGCCAATTTAAGACGGTGCTCATGGGGGTTGAGAGCACCAGCACAAGGCAGCATCCGGAGCCCATCCTTACCTGTGAGATACACGGCGAACCTGGCGCTGATGTGCTGAACCTGCAGGTTCAACAAGCACTTGACGTACTCGGATTTGGGGGACGACTGGGAGTCGCAGGCGTGGTAGTGCAGCACCTCGATGAGATCGGCTCCTTGGCACGATTTGAGGATCAAATGCTTCTTGCGGATGTTGGCGTCCACCCTGCTGGGAGAGGGACAAGGTGAAGTGGCAAGGGGCTTCACCCCTCTCTCCCCTGCCAGGGAATGAGCAGGTATGGGACCTGCCTTTCCCCCGTGTGTGTTTCTTCCATGGGTGCTTTTACGCTTGCTAACCTACACTAAATGGAGATGGCAGGAGCAAGCGTCACTGTACGAATCATGCGTGCAGCAGGAAAACAAAATGACCCCTTGCTTGAGGCAGCTCCAACAGACCACGGCTCATTATCCCACCACAATGGAGTCGAGAGATGCTACGTGAGTGCCGTTGATGGAGCGCAAAGAAAACACTTGCTCCACAGCGGCACCCGCTCTGCACAGGTTGAGTCCTCATCTCACAGACCACGATGAAATACCCGACCCCGAGCTTCTGCGACATCTCACCACTGAAAGACTGAAAATCAGGTGCTATCACCATAAAGGCTGATGGTGGAGTTGATCTGAGATTTCTCCCCGTTTGTTGCAGCATTTTCTGCTCAGACAGAACAGACCAGTTTTTGCTCTTTGCAGGTTGTTAATAGAAAGCCGTCCTTTCTGGCCTGTGGTCTGGCAGTAACAAAGGCAGCCTGCCCGATAAAAACATCCCCCTCTGACTTCAAACATGATACAAGCAGGACATTTCAATGGAAAGTTGTGCTGGTTTTGACTGTGATAGAGTTACAGCAGCTAGTATGGGGCCATGTTTTGGATTTGTGTTGAAACCAGTGTTGATAACACAGGGATGTTTTCATTACTGCTGAGCAGTGCTTACACGGAGTCAAGGCCTCTCCTGCACCTCATCCCACCCCACCAGCGAGGAGGCTGGGGGGGGCACAAGGTGTTGGGAGGGGACACGGCTGGGACAGCTGACCCCAATGGACCAAAGGGATATTCCATACCATATGACATCACACTCAGTATACAAAGCTGGGGGAAGAAGAAGGAAGGGGTGACGTTCGGAGCGATGGCGTTTGTCTTCCCAAGTAACCGTCACACGTGATGGAGCCCTGCTTTCCTGGGGATGGCTGAACACCTGCCTGACGATGGGAAGCAGTGAATGAATTCCTTGGTTTGCTTTGCTCATGCACGCGGCTTTCGCTTTACCTATTAAACTGTCTTTATCTCAACCCACATTACTCTCCTGATCCCCTCCCCTATCCCACTGTGGGGGAGTGAGCGAGCGGCTGGGTGGTGCTCAGTTGCACGCTGGGGTTAAACCACGACAGTCCTTTTTGGCACCCAACGTGGGGCTCGAAGGGTTCGAGATAACGACAAGTTTGATTGGCATGTGCTAGATCGAATTTATAGCTGTCATTGCTGTTTAGCTATTAATCGGCAGGCTCCTCTGCTTGCCATGGGGCTTGCTTGCCTCACTGTATATTAGAGTCTAGTGCTCGTTAGTGGCCGTTTTTTGCTTTCGCTGCTTGCTGCATTGCTGGACTGCTGATCATCTGACTCCGCTGTGCCCGGGAACATTCTGATAACAGCCACGGCCATGTGCCGGGGCTGGCAGATGGCCAGGGAATCGCTGCTGTTTCTGTGCTGCTGTTACGGACAGG